CCTGGCCACTCTTCCTCAACCACAAAACCCGCGATTCAGATTTCAGACTCGTGAACCCGAAGCATGTGTTTACAGCTTCGGGTTCACGAGTCCGAATCTGAATCTTGGGGTTCGTGGTTCAGATGATGAGACAGGAACTTTTGTGGGTGACTGGGTGACTGTACGTAGAGAAGAGACAGTAAGTGCAAGGATACAGGGTCCACTCACCCCACTATCCAGTTTTATTTACACCAAGTCGTCAAAAATACATATATCACCGGGTCCTTAACTCTCTGAGCATTAAAAAAAAAAAAAAACGAAAAATTTGCATCGCGGGAGTCGTGCGGTTGTGATGTATTAAAGTGCTTCAACAACTAAGGTCTTTAAGCTCACTGACAACAACTTTTGAAAATTAGCAAGAGATATAATTTATAGTTGGCATCCTGGAAATGTTAAAAAATTATATATTTTATTATTATGTTTTTTTAAATATATAAATACGATGTAAGATATTCTGTAAGTTATGTTAGTCAGTAGGGCATTAATTTGTTTGGTATTTATAAATATATATATATATATATATCTGTGTGTGTGTGTGTGTGTGTGTGTGTCGATGTATATGTATGTGTGTGTGTGTGTGTGTATGTATATGTATGGTCATCAAAAAATCCCTTCTTTGTCATCAACTCTTAACTCACACATCATTAAGACCCACAACCCCCCAAAAAGGGTAAAAAAAATAGCATCGTGAAAATATTAAAGCACAGAACATATGTATTCCCGAATCTATACACACACGACCACTCATTCACTCCGTAATGAAATATGTAACTCTATGGAGACGCTATAAATGCCATAAAAGTCCCATTTCTATAGGCTTCAATCCCATTAAGATTATGCAGTTTACAGTCTTGATTCCATTATATTTTGACAATTTAATATAATATTCACATAATAATTTTAAATGTTTAGGGAGAAAGATTGCAATGAAGTACAGGAGGAAAAATATTCAACCATACAGCGCGCGTGACTACAAGTTGCAAGTTGCAATATTGAAGCCTTGCAAAGGAGGTGGTAGAGGGGCGGGGCAAGACCAGTGGCTTCACCCCGTTGATGGTGACCGTGATAGTGACCGCCGCCTCATGATGCATGACATTATCTGATACGGCTCCCTCACCCCTTGCAAGGTGATGGATGGTGAGTGATGGTGAGGGATGGTGAGGGGTGGTGAAGGTGGTGAGGGGTGGTGAAGGTGGTGAGGGTGGTGAGTGTGGTGATGGTGAGTGAAGGTGGAGAGGTGTGGGTAATAGTGGGTGAGGGTGGTGAGTGATGGTGAGTAAGGTGATAATGGATGGTGTGTAATGGTGATGATAGAGGTGATGTATGGTAAACGATGATGATGATGGAGATAACAATTCACGGTGATAATAATAATAGTGATACAAAATGAATGATAGTGACAGCAGGTAATAGTGACAAGAGAGAATGAATGAAAATGAATAACCACAATAAGATAGATAATGAAAAACAAGAATAAAAAAAACAAATAAATAATAAAATACTTGAGAACAATTAATAAATAAAAAGTAAGACTCGAAACTGCAATTAATGTTATGAACCAGAGTACACTAACGACTTTGCCACTGACACAACCAAACAAACAAACAAACAAGATACTCCCCAAACACAAAACGTCACACACACACAAACAAACACTCCCACACACAAACCTCCTCCCCCTCCACACACAAACCCTCCTCTCTCCACAAACACCCCCACACACACACACACGGTAGCCGAGACACAAACACCAACAACAGTAACAACCAGACAAGTAGATCAAAACCAAACAAATCTTGATGGTCACAAAAAGTAGAAGATAATGAAAAGGGTGACAGTGAAAACAGCAAAAACGGTCAAGATACAAAGCCAACCTAACACTGTCTCTTATAATGGGAAGGCATGACTCAGGGATCCCACACTGTTGAGTAGACTGGTAAACGACTCATCCCCCCGTCCCCCTACTCCGCCTCTCCTCTATCCAACCCCTCCCCCTCTCCCTTTCCACCCTCCATCCATCTCCACCCTATTACTCTATCCACTTCTTTATCACCTATCCCTACTCTTCCACCTCCACCCATAGTGTCTAACCTGTTAATTGGAGAGAGCATTTTGACATTACTCTTCTCTCCTTCCTCTCTCCCTCCCTCCTCGCTTACTTAGTCACCTCTCCTATCCTCTATTCTTCTCTTCTCTTCCTTTTCTTTCTCACAAATTAAACGAATAGGAACGCGTGTTGGTTGTGTGAGTCTTGCCTATCCATACGAGCTTAGCCAGTCAATCAATCAACCCAGTTAACCTAAGCTAACCTAACCTAACCCAAGTCAGTCACCAATTAACCCAGCCAGTTAGACAGTTTAAACCTAACCTAGACAGTCAACTATAGCAAAACTCAAGCTTACTTTAGACTAGCCTAGGCAGCCAACACAACCTAGAGTCGCCAACGAGATGGACTAGCTTATATAGCCTAGTCAATCGACCAACTTTAGCATAACTTAGCCTAGGTAGCCAGGCAGGAGAAGCGCCAGATGGCAGACGGCGGCTCATCAATGTCATCAATGTGCAACTGGAGGCCTTCATCAATGTGCAACGCCCGGCCCTCATCACCTGGTGGGGGAGTGGAGGGTGGGGGGAAGGGTGAGGAACGGACGAAGGAAATGAGGGTAAGGATGGGCGGAGTAAGTGAGGGAAGGCGATATGAAGGGTGGAAAGGCTAAGGAGGAGGATGGAGGGAATGAGAGAATGAAGGAAGGATGGATTAAATGAAGTGAGGGAAGGAAAGAAATGGGGAGGGGGATGGAGAAAATGAGGTTTGAATGAGGAGGAGAGAATAAGGGGGAGGGCACAGTAGCGGGTGTGGTCAGGACGGGGGAGGGAGGATGGTGGTGGAAGGGGATGGTGGAAGTGGGGGGTGGGGGTGGGGGTGGGGGGGTGGGGGAGAATGAGGACGAAACGGTGGGAGGAAGGGTACGAAAGGGGTGTGGCAGGGAGGAGTGTGGAAAAGACAGGGAGTGGTATGGAAGAGGGAAGGGGAGGGACTAAGGGAAGGGGAAGGGTGGAAAGAAAGGGATGGGAAGGAAAGGCAGTGAGTGACAGGGTGAGGAGGAAGGGAAAGAAAGAGAAGGAAAAGACAGGAAAGATGGAAGTAGTAGAAGGAGAAGGAAGAGAATAGGGAAAAAGGAGAAAGATAAGTAAGTAAGGACAGAATGAGGGAAAATGAAGGGAGGAAGAAGGGAAGGAAGAAAGAAAGAAAGAAAGAAAGAAAGAAAGAAAGGAAGGAAGGAGGGAAGGAATGAAGGAAGGAGGGAGGGAGGGAAGGAATGATCCATCGAAGGTATAGGCCTTTGAAGAACACTTTGAAGTCTTTGACCTCACCTTTGTAAGAATCTGAGTGAAAATTTAGTCCTCCGAGAGAATTCCATTTAGGCCTGACGACGAAATAAAAAATAAAAAAAATCATAAGTAAATAAACCTTTTTTTTTTTTACTTGTGAAATATATATATTCTAAGATCTGTGTTTGATATATATATATATTTTTTGTTATCCTTGGGAGGTCTTAGACATAGATATTATTATGGGATGGGTTTGTTATCGGGATCAGATGTAGACGATGCTTGGTAGTGTGTGTGTGTGTGTGTGTGTGTGTGTGTGTGTGCCAAGTCAACGAGAGAACAAATGACAATCACACTTCATAAATTTCGCACACGTAAAAAAAAATAAATGAATAAATTAGCATAATATTAATTTATTTTTACCCGCAAGAGTATCAATAAATCCTACATGAAGAAGTTACAATAATCTATATTTTAAAGAAGAAATACAACAACAACAACAAAATCTACAACAATAACAAATATTTTATAACTATATCTAAACTTTCTTTTTTGTTATAGAGAAATAAAAAAAAATACGACAAAAGAACTTAGGAAAAAAGTTTACAAGTTAAAAGTTGTTTCAAAATATTACATGAAGGAGAAAAAAAAATATACAAGAACAATGTAACAGAGAATTTAATTGTCCGAGAAAGAAACTTAAACATCGTAAAAAAAAAATAATAAAAAAAAACCCCAAGAACTTTACACATTACAAAAAATAAAACAAATAAAAAACAAAATCAAGTAAAATATAAGATGACGAAGACAAAACAAATAAAGAAACAAATAAATAACTAAGTACGGGAGAGGGAAAATAATCACACGAAAACAATATAATAAAACTGATTAAACGACCATTAGACGCCAAGCTCACGTCACACACACACACACACACACACACACACACACACACACACACACACACACACACACACACACACAGACACACACACACACACACACACACACACACACACACACACACACACACACACAGACACAAACACACACACACACACACAGACACACACACACACACACAGACACACACACACACACACACACACACACACACACACACACACACACACACACACACACACACACACACACACACACACGACGCTAAACCATTAAATCACGATAAATAACTACCCTATTTAATCCAATAACACAAAAAAAATGAATCTTTACTTAATCATTCTTTTTAAGTCATCAATAACAAATTAATTTCAAATATAAATTAATACACAGTTAATCCAACCTATCACAACTAATTACTGAATATTTTATCGTTACCGTGATCTTATACGAGTTAATTATATGGAAAATACTAATAAAAATATATATGAATGGGTTAGGAGTGAATAGATCTTGATGATATATAGAATAAAATATAAAGAAACAAATTAAAGGAAGAAATGTATATAGCAAATGTATAAAATATATATACGTGTGTTTATAGATAACTGAAGGTGAATTTATATACAAGTGAATCCTGAATTAGGTCGCGTTGTAAAATCCCCCTCGCCCCCCCCCCCTCTCCCCCTTAACAACAAGGGTGGAGTTGTAAATCACCCTGACAGCATTGACAACAAGGGTGAAGCTATAAATCCCCCTGACAACATTGACAACAAGGGTGAAGCTATAAATCCCCCTGACAACATTGACAACAAGGGTAAAGCTATAAATCCCCCTGACAACAGTGACAACAAGGGTGAAGCTATAAATCCCCCTGACAACAGTGACAACAAGGGTGAAGCTATAAATCCCCCTGACAACAGTGACAACAAGGGTGAAGCTATAAATCCCCCTGACAACAGTGACAACAAGGGTGAAGCTATAAATCCCCCTGACAACAGTGACAACAAGGGTGAAGCTATAAATCCCCCTGACAACAGTGACAACAAGGGTGAAGCTATAAATCCCCCTGACAACAGTGACAACAAGGGTGAAGCTATAAATCCCCCTGACAACAGTGACAACAAGGGTGAAGCTATAAATCCCCCTGACAACATTGACAACAACAGAAGCATCAATGCGTGGATGTCAACAGTTAAAACAGCAGATTCAGGCAGCAGCACCAGCAGTAGCAGCAGTAGCAGCAGCAATAAGTAGGAACACCAAAGCAGGTGTCATTAGCAGGCGGTGAGAACACAGCACTGCCAGCCAACATATTACCATCAAATTAAGTAATTATTGTCGGGGATAACGTGTTAATTTTACAATGATTATTTTTCATGCAAATTAAACAACGCAGCGATTAAGTTGGATTTCCGCTGTTAACTCTTAATAATATATGTACTCTGTGAATTTGGGACGCTAAATTTTCGAAGATTATGCAAAAAAAAAAAAAAATGTCCTCTGAAAAAACTAAAAGAAGAAAAAAAAGAAAGACAAATTAATATTCTTGTTTGATATATTTCAGGTGTACAATGCCCTTTACCGTGTTTTCATTAGACAAGCGTATTAATAACGCTGATTATTAATTAAGAATAGTCACCAATGCTATCGAATTCGGATGTATTACGAGGCTAAGCAAAAACACACACACACACACATACACCTGAGCACTGATAGTTACCTAATTACCAGGTATAGTGTTATCTACCTGCCTTGGCCTCACCTCTCTACAGGTAAACATAACTCATTAATCACAAAACAAAAACATTCTCGGTATCAGGAAGTAGAACATCTAACATTTTAAAACATTTACCTTAACAAGATATAAATGTTTCTAAAATTTTCCCTTTTTTTTCCTCCTAAAGTATAAATATACCATTGAGGGTTATTACGCTTAACAATAGAATTTCTGGTAAATAGAAAAATCTTGATGTGACTGAATCAGAAGTTTATTTATAAATACCTGATGAGTCATGGACATATCGACATGACTTGCAGGAAATAGTTTATGTAAGTCGCTCTATGGACACTGACAAGACGTACACACACACACACACACGCGCACACACGTACACACACACACACTGACATGTAAAACTAATATCAACAACAGATATGAAATAATTGATTGACTCGTACAGACACACGAAGAAAAATACAGCAATAAAATAAAGTGCATAGACAGACAGACACACGCACGCACATAGATGGAACGACAGAATCAGGTAGAAAAAATAAATACAATATTCGACGGTCTCTCACACACACACACACACACACACACACACACACACACACACACACACACACACACACACACACACACACACACACACACGGACAACTGAGCCATACTTCCCATCTGATTGACTTTGTGTGGTAGTGAAGTTCAGGTAAGCGATTGCGCCCCATGCAGCTTCTCTGTTGTCAGTCCTGCCACCATCCGTTGTCAGCTCTTTTACCTTATGCCAACACCCCTTCCCCCATCCCGTTCCCCAGTTTCGTCATCATAATCGTTATCATCATCATCATCATCATCATCATCATTAGTCATTATCAGACTGTTGTCAGGATATTTTCATTACCATCACCAGCTGTTGACAACCTCACCACCGCCACCAGCTGCCGCCAGCCTTCTCATCACAAACACCTGTTGCCATCTGTCTCATCTTTACCAGCTGTGGCCAACGCTTTCACCACCACCACGTGCTTCGAACCCTTGCGCCACCACCTGTTGTTAACTTAGTCACCAGCTGTTGTTAGCTCATTCACCATCTGTTTGCTAATTCGCTAACCATCACACCACCTGTTTTAGTACTATCCATCCTGGCAATATTTCCACATGTTATTAACCTAACCTAACCTAACCTAACCTAACCTACCCTACCCTGACGAGGCTTCTATCCATCTGGCGCGTGTCATCGCAGCATCACCTGAATTAACATGGTGTAAATAAAGTAAACAGGAACTAGGTGAAACTTTAAACCCTCAGGAGAGTTAAAGAACTTAGCCAGTGTTATGTAGTAGAGGTGAGGGGAGGGAGGGGATGGGGGAGGGAGGTGATGGGGGAGGGGTAAGAGGGGGAGGGGTGAGGGGGTAAATGGGTTAGGGTGAAATGTATAGGATATTACGTCATAAGTATTACAGGGAAGCATTCATACACACAAGGATTAACCCCCTCCCTAACTCACTCACTCACACACCTGCACTCAACACACCTCATCACCGTGAGTTACACAGGTAAAACCAGACCCCCATCTAATTACATGTATGACAATCAACTCACTTCCCTCATATTTCCACCTTTTTTAAAAATATATAATTAATAATAATAATAATAATTTTGTTACCAGGCCCACCACCACCCCTCCCTCTGCCCTACCCCTCCTACCCCCCCTCCCCCTTGGGCACAAAAAAACCTAATTGGGATTGAAATCATTCACAGGTGACAAAGTAGCACTGTATTACCGAAGCCACTACTGTAATTGGAAGACACAATACATTTGCGACGAGGAATTGCCCAAAACAATGGCCATTCTTTACACAAAAAATTACCAGTGTTGTTGACGCCACTGTGATGAAATATTAGTTTGTTTCTAATACACTTTTTACACATCTATACTAATATACTATTTTTTTTTCTTTTTTTTTCGTCTTTTTCTTTTTCGCTGCTAAACACACGGACGGATTAAAAAAGCCCCCAAAAAAGGAGTTTGTCATAATGAGTTTGAAAGCATCAAATCAGATATAATTTATTGCCCCCCCCCCCTACTTTTATGATGGCCATTTAATATAATTCATGTTCGATAAATTTTCCCCAATGGCTGCTGTACTGTATAACAAAATGCTTTCCCTTGTCATTTAAACCCTCCAGTGCTGGTGGCTCGGGTTATCAAATGCCCCTCGACATTTATACAGCTTAAGTTGAAGACCATTTTTCACAGCCCCTTAAAACATGAAGAAAACTTAACATCATTAATACTATTATTTCTCTCGACTATTATTACGGGTTTTATTTTATTATTATCTTTGTTAATGTTATAATTCAGCTACTGTTGTTGTTGTTGTTGTAACTAGTCTATTATTATTATTATTATTATTATTATTATTATTATTATTATTATTATTATTATTATAGTACTCAAAATTACTCATTATTATTACTGCATTTATGATTTAATAATAATAATACTAATAATAATAATATTATTATTATTATTATTATTATTATTATTATTAAAACAAATATTATATATTATTAATAATATTATTCTTATTACCAATACTGTAAAAAATTAATGTCATCAGTATTATTATTATTATCGTCGCTGACAATTACAAAATTAACTTTTTTCAATTATATTTTTAAGTTTATGTATTAAATCATTATATAATTGAACTCTTACTAATTGTTTGTTATAATTTTTTTCTGGCTTCCTGCAGTTATTATAAAAATTATTATTAGTATCGTTTTAAACTAGCAATTCACCTAAATTAATATCATTATTAACATGAGAACTTAATAATACTAACATTTGTATATTAACAATTATTATCACCTACTGTACTTGTTCTTGTTAGAAGATAATTACCGAGTGAATAGGTTTGTTACATATGATAAATAATTGTTATAAAAATTCAGATAATTTTTCTTAATACTGTACTCTTTTGGTTTTTCTAAGTTCAGGAATATAATAATTATTTTTTCAATACTCCCAAGAAAATGTATTATTATTTTTAATTATCATGAGAATGTAAAAAAAAAAATATATAAAAAAAAATAAAAAAAAAATAAATAAATAAATAAATGAATATATAAAATAAATAAATAAATCCAGTCCAAGATAATTTGCTTGATAACTCACAAATATACGGAAAGATGCAATTATTCGGGTTATTATTATTATCATAAAATGTAAATGTGTGTTTTAATGACTCACTGAGTTAGTAATGAATAATTCGAGAGGCCGCTACACCTATGTTATGTTCCGTTACAGTACACAGCACCTTAGCTCTCTCTCTCTCTCTCTCTCTCTCTCTCTCTAGTTAATCTTAGATAAAATCCAGCAGGTGTGAGATTGACGCTGGATTGGTCACAGTTATGGATGAAATTTGACCTATATATATGTTTCTCTCTTGAGGGTTATGTTTTTGTACTGTGTGTGTGTGTGTGTGTGTGTGTGTGTGTGTGTGTTTAGTTTACTGTATATAAAAAGTTAAAAATCACTGGGAATTATTATTTGCAATTAAAAAAATCAACAAAAATGACAGCAGATGTGACGGCAATAACAGCACTTAACAGAAAGATCATCATCATCATCATCATCATCATCATCATCATCACACTCTAGTAGCACTACCGCATGTATCAGTTCAGTATAAATAACAGTAGCAAAACAACAACAACAACAGGACCAACAAGAGCAGTGGACGGTAACCTTCTGCAGGAGGAGATATTAGCAGCGGAGTGTTGTGTGGTTCAGGTCAGCCCACCTTTGTTAGGGCATGAGTTGCAGAAGCTGACCCCCATCATCAGCGGCGCCCGGCACATACTCCACGCTGCTGCCGGGGACGCCCTCCACCTGCGTCTACTCGGGATATATGGACAGACGGGGAAGATTTAATCACTGAGGGAGAGAACGAAGGGAGAGGGCGTGGGGAGAGGGAAAGGATGTGGGAGAGGGCGTGGGTGAGGGCGTGCTACTGGGTGCAGGACGGTGGTGGTGGTGGAGGGGCGGGCTCAGCTGAGCCGCCACGCAGCATTTCTCGCTTCATCTCCACTCTGTTTACATTACAGACGACGACCAATTGTGAATTAAATATCACTCCACAGTCTCCTCGGGGCCTCGCTCACTGCCTCTCACTCTATTACTCCACTGAACGTCAACACCAATGTATTATTTATCTCCAGATGTTCTCAGTCTTACGAGAAAGTCACGCACATCATTTTTTATAGCCTTTAATTTTCCATGTGTCATAACGCGATTATGACGGCCATGTATGGGAGGGAGGTACACATACACACACAAGTACATTTGGTGTTGTTCATGATGACTAGAGGAGGTAGTGGAGGGGTGGTGGTGGTGGAGAGGGAGGTGGGGGAGGGTGGGAGTGGGTGTGGGGGCGGCGTGAGCAAAGGGGAGGGTCGGCGGAGAGCGTGAGTGTTGGGGGATGCGGGCCGCCCTCACCCGCCTGCCCGCCCGCCTCAAACATAA